GTACGGTGGTTCGCGGGTTTCCAGCTACCTGTAACCTATTTTTATGTGTTTAATACCAGCTTGTGTATATAAATTGTTCCTAGAAGTTAATCGATAAAAATAATCATTCATAGCCCGTTCCCAAATACTCCTATTATATTATATTATAGATATATAAAATCCAAATACCACTGACTCACTGATCGCTGTATCTTAAAAACTATTTAACGTACGTACCTGAAATTTGGACTAGTGGTTCCTCTAATACTTTCACCGTGTAATAAGAAAGGATTTTTCAAAAATCATATATTTAAGGGTCTAAACAGTTTCGGACTGGATGTATACATTTTTTATTTTTTTGTTTACCTAGGAAATATTTGATTTGTTTATTATGTTGATTTTAATAATCACCGATTAAGTATTATATGATATTAAATATCAAACTCTAAAAAATAAATCAATAAAAATCAAAAAATATTGTGTTAACAAATTATTATTTCAACCGTTATTTCGAGGTTTTTATACTTAAAAAGGCATAGATTCTACGGTAACACCCAAAAGCAGTTGAACACTCACAATTTTCTCAACGGAAGTCAGGTATTTCTCACTTAATGATTATTGCTACACCTCAAAACTATATGAACATTAAATTTGATATGGTGTTCTTTTCAATATTCAATACATGCAATAAGAAGAGATTTTAAAAAATATTAGAACTGGGAAATACGGTAATTCAGCATACTGCCAAAACTACCGATTCATTTGTTTTAATACCACTAACAGTTACACCAAACTTGACTATAGTGTAAGGATATAATCCATTAAAATCTATGTCACGGCCAAGACTCTTCCGTGCGAAGCGTAATCAGGCTAGTAACAAATAAATGTATAGGAACTTCCTTAAATGTTATTATTTTATTTAATAAAGACATAGTTTAGTTTAATACTTTATGAGTTTCAATTGAAATAAAACAAGATAAAAGTACAATTAATGAAAGTTTAGGAAACAATTTCTCCTTTCCACAAAACAAAGATGGTTTTTAAATTTAAGGCATATGACAGAAGTTTGGCCTGATTTGAAATATCTACATGTGCTTTTTGTAGTAAATGCTGGACAATGGTCTATTTTATCTTGTACCACTTATTGTGGAGGTCTTTGTGTAACCAGTGTTTGAACTTTTTTTACATGTTTTTCTTTTGCTATCGAAGAAGAAGAACGATCAACTCTTGGCTTATTTTTACAAACCAACGCAATACCAATATATTTTATAAATTCTTTTAATGTTTTTTTCACTTTTGCTATCTCTTCTATACAATAAATAGACATTATTTACAGACAGATGTAACATCAGTGAAAATAATGCCATATAGTATTTGTGTATCTTCATGTTAGTTCGGTAGAGCGCTATAAACATATCTGCTAGATCTACGCCACCCATATGGATGTTATATTCCTGTAATATTTTAGGATAAGGGACAGGCACATTTTTTTGGGTTTTTGAATATCTTTGAATTGTTTGGACGGATTCTTCCCCTGCATAAGAACTTGCCAAACTAACAATTTTATTGTCCAACCATTTAACAATAATTACTTTTTTTTTTTTTATCACACTGGCTAAAGAAGGTACCCTGAGGCATTTTACTTAACTTCTTATCGTTTATATCACTGGTCTTCAACCGATGGGCCGCGACCCAATTTTGAGTCGCGTAAGCTTCAAGATTAGGTCACAATAAGTTTTCTGTTTAACATTTAGAAAATTCATATTCATATACAGTAGAAACTCGATTAACCGTCAATGTCGGGACCAGGGCAATGATGGTAAATCGAATAGACGGTTAACCGAAATACAATAATACATAACAATTTTTCAATAAACGTAAACATAATTTTCAGACAAAAATAATAAAATAATAATAAATAATAAATATTTATAATATATAATATGTAATAACATAACATAATACCATTCTAAAAAATGTTAAATAAAATAATCCGTCATCTTCTTTTGTTTTTTTGATTCACAAGCTTTTTGAGCGGAGCCATGTTTCGTATTTTACGAAAAAGTAAGACCTGCGTTGCATTTGCCTCCTCTTGTACCTCAAACCAATCAATGGATTTTGATAACATTGCTTCTACTTCTGCGTGACTAGTTGATGGTTTTAAGTCAAGCACTGAATCTTCGACGTCCTCTTCAACTTATTCGTCAACTGTAGTGACATTAAAAATAATTTGATCATCATTTAAAATTTGAAATCCTCCGTCCTGTTTATCACTTTCTAACCAATCCGTTACTTCTTTCGTTGATAATTTTTCATTATTCAGTCCATTACAGAGTTACTTCTACACTAACAGTATCAGATTCTTCAGATTCGAACGGTGTTATTTCAGGCCATAGTTTATTCCATCCATTCTTTAGGTTTGGTACAGTCAAATCAGTCCATAAACTGGCAACATTAAAAATATCATACTTTCTGTTGTCATTTTTCCAAAATGTTTTAATGCCTATAGCATCCTCAGATGACAGAACACTTTCGATTAAACTATTTCTGTACCGACGCTTCATATTTTCAATTCTTCCCTGGACCATAGGTTGGAGAAGAGGGGTTGTATTTGCTAGGAGAAATAGGCATGTTATATTGCCATCGTCACTTTTCAATTCGCCGGAGAGATGTGTTGGGGCATTACCCATAAGCGGCAGCGCTTTCTGTAGCAGCTGCTTTTCGGCGAGATGAATTTTTATTTGTGGTACAATCACTTTATGAAACTATTCCGTAACATATTGTTTGATCCATCCAAGTACTTTTTTGTGTATAATAATTCACAGGTAGTGCATTTAAATTTAAATTTTTAAATGCACGTGGTTTTTTGTCTTTTCTTATCACCAACAAAGGTTATCTATAATTGCCGGTTGCATTTACACAGACCATAGCAGTGATCCGATCCATTTGTACCTTAAATTCTGAAGTTGTTTTTTCCGAAACTATGCTAATGTTTTTTGTGGTAAAGCTTTCCAATTGAGTCCAGTTTTATTACAGTTATAAACTTGTTCTCCAACGAATTTAAGTTCAGATTGTATTTTAAATTTGAATTGTTCCTTGAATTCAGCCATAGCTCGACTTAATCCATAAAACTTATTTACTTTTCGTGTGTATATATATATAAATATTGTTAAATCTATTAATTTGTGTGAAATTGAGCTGAGGTGGAGGTATTTCGTGTGAAAACAGTCCGGGACAAATATCACACTAATTTCTTTTGTGTATTATTACATACATTTTTCGGTATCATTACATGCATGTTTTTTGATATCATTAATTATAACAAAAATTAAATCTTACCTAGATACCTAGAAAATATATATATATATATATATATATATATTAATTTATTCAATTATAAATGCATTTCTACAATGACATACATTAAGCAATTTTAACTTTTTTATTTGGTTTTCATGGCTAACGAAGTTGACATGGGTCGTGAAAAATGTTTGATAAAAAAAGTAGGTAGTGAACCGAAAAACGTTGAAGACCACTGGTCTATATCACATCCACGCAAATATTATTTTCTTAATGTTCCAAGACTAAGAATGTCATATTCATGTCTTAAATAATGAATAAGCTCTGATGTAAAAAAATTATCAAAAAAAAAAAAACCGTAGTGAGTGGTTTATTAAGGATAGTTTAACATAATGAAATTACTAATTTTGATCCTAAACTTTTTATCGAAATAACTATTTTCATAATCGGAAAACTGCACATTCTGGAAAGTATTTTCGCAAAAGTATGAGAAAAAATCATAGACCACCATTCCATCGATTCCAGTACGGACAAATAGTTTAATGTCCCACTTCTTCAGTTTATTTTTCATATATTACCTACGTGAACTAGTCTTGTCCTTATATGGAATCATCATTTCATCTATTGAAAATGCATTTCCTTGGGAAATATTCAAACAGTTAAGACGAATATTTTAAATGAATTTCTTTGTTTTAAAAAAATCGATCGATGTTGTTATCATATTCGTTATTTATTAAACGCAATATATGTTGATTTAATTAAATGTTGTTTATTGTTTTAATGTCATAATATCTGCGATGGATACAAATCTACTGCCTTGTGCCCAGTAATCAGTATAAGATGGCATTTTAACTATAGCCATCCAAAGTTTAATACTTAAAAAATCTTGCATTTTTTTAGGAATAGTAGAAAGAGATTTCCAAATTTTCTAGATTGAAAATAAATTACTGTTCAACTAACAATTTGATTATCTCATTAGAAAATATTTTCATAAAGTAATGGCGTTAAAATAGTATCGTTAATAATATAGTTTTGTTCAACTGGAACCTTGACACTAAAATAAAATTAATTAACTGTGTAATTAATTAATAAATCCAAGTGAAATATATATATGTTTCAACGGTACTTTTTTTTTTTTTGGCTGAGCATGAATGATGACCGGAGTCTAAATTACTGTTTTTTTATGAATTCGATCTGAACGCCGTGATGATGAACTTACGGGTGTTATAGATAATTATGCTATTGGAAGGGGTATTGCGGGACTTGGTACTTGACTTGGAGATGGTAAACGAATACTAATTTCTGAAACAGCTTCATTTCTTAACATCTTAGTTTCTTCTAGTACTATCTGAGCATCAAATTCTTCAAACACTTCTTCGTTCCAATCTTATATTATTTAATATAATAAAAATATTATTTATTTATTATATATTTATATAAATAATAATATAATAATTATAACTAATATATATATTATAATTTTAATTATATTTTATTTATATAAAATATAAATATAATAAAACATAGTAATTAAAAAAACCTACATCATTTTCACTCTCTTCTTCAAATTCTGCCAAGAACCTGTCAATCTCTGGTATATTTTGTTTATCTATCTCCGACTCTGAATTAGATCTACTATCTAGCGGAGATAAGGACAAAGCCATCATTTTTCTAGTTCTCGAAAATATTTCTAAACGCGTATTTATAAAATAATTTATAATATGCGACTGTCCGGTGTGGCATATTCTTGTACCGCACAGGAGGTCAATTCTTGAAATCATACGACTAATTCTTGCCATAAGTTATACATTTTATCGACTGTGACGCATTTTTATCGCATGCGACATACAATTGTATTCTAGAACTAAAATCGATAAGATTTTATCATTTTCGAATGCGATAAAGTGTATCGAAATTACCAATGTGGTAACAACATAAAACCCTAATTTTAACTTCAAACAAATTCAAAATAATACATTTTATCTTTAATCACAGATATTTATTTTGACATTCCTCAAAATTATCAAAGTATATTAATTGTGTTAATATCTACCTAGTTTCATTTGTTTTTATTTTGTACCGACTGTTGTAGTCCGTAGTTGTAAATAGCATTTATATATTATTTGTATAGTTATTATCTATAGTTATTAAAATGTCTAAATCAAGGCCAACACAATCTCAAATGAAATCTTTAGTTGATCTTGTGGCCAAAGATCCATTATTGTGCGCCAGTAAATTTACACCTACATTAACCCAAAAAATTGCTATAGAAATATGGCAAAATATAGCGGAGCAACTCAACACTTTACCAGGAGCAGAGAAAAGCGGATGTAAATGGAAAAAAGTAAGTTACTTAGTTTTATACTTAAATGTTGCTTGCAAGAGAATATTGATTTTCACTTTTATTTATTATGTATTACATTTTTTTTACACTGATATACTTATACTATTCCTTAATTGGCTTGTAGAGTTAAGGTTCTTTAAAAACTTATGAAATAATGTACTATGAATATTTTAATCCTTTATAGTCTAATTAAATAAAGAACCAAAATAAAAATCTTACTTGTTTTATTTGTATTTGAATTGGTATAGTACATAATTTTTAATATTTTGGTTATTCATAATATGAATATATCACTAAATATAATATATATATATATATCACTATTATAATTTATAATCATATATTATATGATTATAAATTATAATAGTGTAAAAATATGATAGTATTATGAACTAATCCATATATACTAATGTGTTAACTAACTTATTATATTTTTTAGACATGGCAAGATACTAAATCAGCAACAAAAACAAAGGCAGCGGCTATTAAGAGACACATAGGAGGTACTGGTGGTGGACTAACTTGTGATATTCAGTTGAATAACATTCAAAAAGATGCACTCTCTTTAATTAATCCATCATCAGTTAATGGACATGAAAATACTGTAGAGTCACACGTAGAATTCATTTTTGAAATTCCTAAAAATGTTACACTTGGTAATTTTTAATGAATATATTGTTGCGTGCCGTCGTTCAATCGTAACGATGGTTAAGTTTTTTAGGATAATACTTCAAATAAAAATATTCAAATATAATTAAACTGTTTATTTAAGAATTTTTTCTAAGTACAAAACATTAATTTAAGAAATGATCTGGTGTGAATATGCTTGCGCTTATACCTGTAAACCACATCTGAATATTGGTCTGTTCCCAACCCCCTTATATACTTAGGTTTGGTGAAGATCAAACGTGCCGCGCTGGGCGATAGTTGTTTTCAATGTCTGTACATTGTAATATGTAATAAAGTTGTACACGGTTTTAGGACTTAGCAGTGGAAATAGATTTATGTAAAACACTACATCAGTTCACTTTGTTTTGGTTAAATCGATTACATTTTTTGCATTCACTTCGTTGGGTTATCAATCATTTCGCTGTAGAATATGATGACATTTAATTAAGTAAATACTGTTCTGACATTCTTGCTACTTTATTTCATATTATATAAAGATACAATTTAATAAAACAATAAAAACATAACTTGTAATGAAAATCTCAAGTAATAGGCTGATAACTATTTTCCTACTTTATTATATACAATAACAATTTTATAAAAAATAAAACATAATACATAATAATGAAACATTTTAAATATAGCTAATATATTTTTTTACATAATATAATTATAACAAATTACTACAATCAATTTCATCAATAAATATTTCACTATTTAATAAAACAATAAAAACATAACATTTTAATGAAAATCTCAAGTAATAGGATGATAACTAGTTTCCAACTTTATTATATATAATGACAATTTTATGACAAATAAAACAAAATACATATAAAATATAGCTTACATATTATTTTACATAATATAATTACAACAAATTATTACAATCAATTTCATCAATAAATATTTCACTATTTAATTCATCTTTAGAAAAATCATACACCTCATTATTCATACAAGCATACATGTTTTTAGTTGGTTTAAATTTAACACATGAACTAACTTTCACACATTCACTAGTGTTTATAAAACTATTTATTTGTTTAGTCATTAACTTATTTCTTAATTTGGTTTTTATTAAGTTAACTTTAGAAAACAGTCGTTCGCAAACACAATTAGACTGTGGTAAGGACAAAATATTCAGAACTAACTCTGAAAGATTAGAAAACAGCTTTTCCCCATTTTCTTCGTATAAATAAAGATCTAACCAAGACACATCAACATTTTTATTTTTAAGTATATTTATCATGTCTGAATCAAAGTAAGAATTTAGTTTTCGCCATTCACCATCAATCAATTGCATACGATTTTGATCATTACATATTCTTGGAAATATGACCGTCATACGATGCACATATAAGTCCTTGTTCTTTTTTCGCACTTTGTTGGCACCGTCGTTAAGCCACCTAATTTTATATAAACTTTTAATTTGTTTTGTGGTTGTTTTTTTCGTTACACAATATATAAATCAAATCGTCCATCGGATTGTGTCCATTCGATTTTTATTTCCAAGCTCACCACAACACCACCACTTAGACTGTGACCGGCCACCTCACCGAGGGAAAACTTATCGTCCGCCTAGGCCGTGTCAAATTGGCTCCCCGAGAAGGAATCACCCGGTTAATAAGGTAAGAGTTTTTTATTCACTGTCACTACCTCGGTTTTGCTATATATTGCTTAATATAATAGATATTCCAGGTGTGCTTAGTATTTTTTGGTGACGCGTAATAGTTATTCTCGTCCTTCCGGGTAGGGAAATACGCCCGACTTAAAATAGCAGTGAGATAAAAGGTCAGGGTATAGTAGTCGTTAGCGATGCAACACCACACCGAATAACTCGACCTTACCATTGGCCTACCGATAATAGACCAGCGAGCGCGACAGCGACCTTGTAACATTATACGATTATTAACACGCGCATCGCAGATCATCGCCGTCGCCGCCGCCGCCGTTACCGTCGCTCGTGATTACGTGATTTTTCGTAAATTATGGCGCGGTGCGGTATTATCTATTATCGTTAACCGCATTTTAATCAACAACCACAGCAGTGCGTTAGCGGGCCACATTATCAAAATAACAACAGCTGCGTGATAAACAGTTTGTTTTTTTTCCGATTGTTGTTAATTTCAATTATTCGAATTTTTTTTTAACATTTCTTTTCTTCACTAAGTCTCGTTTAGTGACGCGTATACTACACCTCCCTCTGCGTGTACTCCAATCAATAGTTTATTGTTTCGAATAGTTGTTATTAGAATTATTTATAATTAATTTTTACACTATATCGAGCAAATATATTGATCAACTGACGTTGACGGAGTTGCGTCATGAGTGTGAGAGTAGGCTGATACCGTCATCCGGGTCCAAAGCGGACATCGTAACAAGATTAGAGGAACATTTGCGCACAACCGGTGTCGACCCATCGAGGGTACTTTTTCAGATTTCTGTCGGCGACGGACAGGTACGGGGCGATTCGACAGTGATGGTAGACACTACGCCTTCCACTAACGCAAGTTTGTTGGGGGGTGACTTTGATAGTAACCGTTTACAGTCGACATCCAACCCACTCGACACCGCGAACACCGGAAATATTTTTTCGTCTGCCGCAGCGCAACTCGAGCCGCTACGTCAATCGATCGGTCATCAAACCGAACGTATCGCATACGAATTACGCATAACGAAGTTGGAAGCGAGTTTAGCGCAGCTTTTAAATGAGCAACGACAAAACTCGCGGGGATACGAACCCGACGTGTCCACCCAACACCAATCGCGACGCGAATCGGTACGTCTTCCGGTAGACACTCACGTCAATACGTATGCGCACGCTCACCATCGAGAAATTCTGACCGTTTTTCAAAGTGACAACCACGCGCCCGCACAGGCGGGTGACGACCGCGTCAACACCGCAGCGAGTACGTCGTATTACACACGCAACTTGACCGGTTAACAAACGGTTTTAAATAATAATTCGCGGAATTTTTCGTCATTCGCACCGCGATCACAGGAACGTTCTGTATCAATCCCGTATGAGGATTTGCGCGCCGCAAGAGCTTCACTACCCGAATTTTCCGGAACAAGGGCCGAAGACCCCATACGATTTCTAAATAATTCGGAATCTGTCCTATCGCAGGCGAACATACACATGTCCGGCTGGTGTAGAGCTATTGAACCGCAATTAAAAGGTACGGCCGCGACTTGGTGGAACTCCATTAAGGTCCTGGAACTATCCTGGGATGAATTCCGAGTCGAATTTTTAACAAATTTCGACAATGACGAAATTCAACTTCGGTTGCGCGCTGATATATTGTCGACACGTCAGTCCGCGACACAGTCGTTAACGGAATTTATTTTGGATAAAAACCAACTCGCGCGTCGCGTAAATACTGGCCTATCCGAAGCGGATTTGGTTCTGTACATTACCGGATTAACGCGCGATGAATTCCGTACGCACATATGACTTCGACAGCCGTCTACTTTCGCCGAGCTTCGACGCATCGCGAGTATTTTAGATCCTGTCGTATGCACACCACGCTCAACCCCGCGACGTGATAACAATCAACCCGGGCAAAGGAGGTGGCAAGGTCGTGACACGGGACAACCCGTTTCACAACCCCGCGCGAATGCCCCGAATAGGAACGCGCATGCGTCTCAACCGCGCGCGAACTTGCCGAGAGGTCCGCCGGGGCCGTGTAGGACCTGCGGCGAATTGCACTGGCACAGCGAGTGTCCGCACAGGCCAACCACGCCGGGAAACGGCAGGGGAGCCATGGGGAATTAGTCCACCCCACTGACTCCAACCAACCCACATATACCACACAGTTCGGTATTACGGGTGGTAAAAATTTAGGCGATTTTTGCACAATTTTTTCCACCGCGTCGTCGGCGAACACATCGTTCAACGCACACGACGACACATCTGACCGCGGCGTCCAGTTTCAGACCCCAACCTACACTTATACTCCCACCTCAATCACATCACACCCCCCCATCAATTCAACCACCCCAAAGGTGGCCATTCACAGTGTAGGGACAAAGGCAACTGATTCTCGGACGTTTACAAACAGTAATGGGGGCGCATCACATCGCTCATTGCATACCCCCACGTCAGTCACACCTGTAGAAGATCGGCTAGCGAACACAGAGGCAATCGAAACGGATGCTTTGGTTATGGCAATTCAACCTGCTCAACAAACATCTTTGGTCGCGGTTAAGAACCAATTGTCCCGTTCCGCTTAGCCATCTAAGTCAAATATCGTCTCGCGAACACGCCCAGATAAAATTCC